GATTCCAGGGCCAAGGCATTGAAAATACGATAGCCTAGAACATCTTAACACCTTACAGGAAGTAAGGAAGTGCTAAACACAAACAAAAACAAAAAGTAGTGATTCTTGAAAGAACACAGGCCCCAACCTGAAGGAGCTCCTAACGGCCAAAGGTGGAACAAATGATGAAACAACATTAAAAAAAAAAAGATGGATTTCATCTCATGGGCTAACATAAGCTTTCTTGAGATCGTGCTCATATAAGTAAATAAGTAATCAAATAAACACAGCCTGAGGAGAAGCTCTTCCCCATAGGAGATACCAGTTAACAAAAGTAGAAGGAGGAGGGACAGACAGTCACTGACAGGCACACACCACAGCAATGAATGTCGCAGACAAGATCCACCAAGGAATGCCAAAATTACTAAGTAAAAGTTTGAAGAGAAACAGCATTTGCATGTCTCAAAATGCATCCCCAAAGAGACTTATCACCTTCCCAGAGAAAGAGGGTCACTTAAAGTAGAGAAACTGGCAAGGACCATGTCAGCGTCATGGGTTATAGGACACAGCCACATACCGCACCCTGGTCAGATGCCCTGGGAAGACACAGCTCCGTGTCCATCACCTGGCTCTCATGAGAGAACACCATGCAAACCCATAATGAGGACCACAGCATACACACTGAGCAGTACTCCTCACAGAGCAGGAAGATAACGAAAGACTAGAGACGGGGGAAGAAGCATCACAGACTGGAGAGGACTGAGGAGAAATAATGATTAAACGCAATGTGGGATTCAGGACTGGACCCTGGATGAGAAAAAGAGCATAAATGGAAAAATGGGCGGCCTTGAATAAGCTCTGCTGGTTAGTCAATGCTACTGTACCCATTTGAAGTCCTGACATTGGCCTTCATACCGTGACTGTGCAAGATGTCAATGTCAGTGTGGTGAAATGAGTTCCTTTATGTGGCCTTTTGCCTTGGTTCTTTGGAAGAAGAGTTTGAGGTATGTTTCCCCTAAGCCCTGAGGAATTACCTTTGCCCTAGTTTTCTACCCCACACGGTTTGTTACTTTTGTCCAGGTTGATTGATATTTCATGGCTAAGCTGTAAACAACTTGGTTTTGATACTTTTTGTCTGGTCCTGGGCTGCAGCCTGCCCTATGATTGGTCTATTTTATGTATCTTGCAGGAATTGGTCAATAAACTATGGAAATCAGGCAGGTTGTAGCCCAGCCATGCGTACTGTACAAATGAAGTGGCTGTGGCCTACCGATATGGGATTGGTCAGTTTGTGGCCCTGGTGAGAGTACCACGCCTTGAAATTTACGAGGAGTTTGTGTGTATATACAGCCACCCTCACAGAGGTTGGGCAGACACAAAGAAGCAAGAAGAAAAGCAGTAGGAAGAAGCAGAGAGAGAGAGGAGGCAAGGAACCTCCTAAAAGAGCTGTAACACTGGTCAAGGGCTGTAACACTGAAGACAGTGAAAGGCCCAGAAGGGGCCCAGCAGCAGAGCCAGCAGTGACAGATCTTGGCAAGGCCAAGAGGAGCCTGTCCTCAGGGGGCTGAGAGGAGGTCTGCTTGGCTAAGAGGAGCTGAGAGAGCTGTCCTGCACTGAAGAAGGGAGACTTTGCCTGCGTGCTTCCTGATCCTGATTCTGATTTGTAGCCTGTAGCTCCTTATCCCAAGTTGCACCCTGTCCCTTAATAAACCACTTAACTGTGAGTATGGTCTATGAGTTCTGTGTGGCCATTGCAACAGATTATTGAACCCAGAAGAGTAGAGAGTGTCATGGGAAGAATGACTGGTATCAGAATTGGTATAAAGGCTGAAGAGTGGAAGTGTGGCTGATCTCCACCTCATAGGGATCAGTCTTGGGCTGATCTTGATTCGAATTATCCCCCTTGAAGTTAAAGAAATTTTGACACTATTATTACTTCTACCTTTTTACAGTCGGTCAGTACTATTGTACCAATGACGAAGTCCTGCTGTCGGCCTTCCTACCGTGGTTGTGTAAGATGTCAAGTCAGTCAGTACTATTGTACCAGTGTAAACACCCTGACGCTGGCCTTCACACTGTGGCTGTGGAAGATGTTAATGTAGGGAAGTGGGGTGAGGGATACCGGGGACTCTTTGTATTGTTTTTACATCTATGCAGTAAGTCTAAAATTCACTCAAAATAAACAGTTAAATTAGTACCAAGTGGTAAGGGAGAGAAATGTTGAGAACACGGGTCTGGGAGCTTTTAGGAAGGGTTAGCCATCCACCATCACCAAAGATGAGCAAGTATGAAAGTCAGGCCGGTGTGAGGAGAACAAACACCACTGAGGCTGCATCAGAGACGAGGCCCAGGGCTGACTGGGCCAAGTCACTTGGGCCTTTGAGTATTGTGTGGAGACACAGTTCCTTTGTTTTTAAAAGTAGGGGAAATAGTGGTCTTCTCACAGGGAACTGTAGTAAAACATTCTGTAATTGGTAAATTGCTACACAAAGAAGGTATCATCTCTGAGGCACTTTTGCTTGATAACCATTGGTGTGGGGTCCAGTGGTACTTGCCCTAGTCAAAACTTCTCATCGATGAGGGCTGAGCCTCATAAAATCACCTCTGCTGTCCTCCCTGCTCAGCTGCCCCCAAATCATTGTCCCTGCTCCTTGTCTCCTGTCCCTGCTGAGGCTTAGCCAACCAGTGATACAGGACACCCTCTCCCGTGTGAGGTTTTACGTGGTCCATAATAAATGCAGCAAGCAGTTTCCCTCACACACAAAGACCCTGGTGCTCAGCACTCACTATCCTTACCAAGGATAAAGGGGTTCTCAGATCTGCAGGCCCACCAAGAGGGGATCTCTCAGAGCCTGGGCTCAGCTTTGTGTTTTATAAAAAAATTCCTACCTGGTCACAAGCCCAGTAGTTCTTTCATCAGTGGCCACTGTTTTAATCTGCAAGGATCTGAAGAAGTTGCTAAGGTTGTGTCATGTGCTTTTTTTATTCATTAAGGAACGAGGCTTCCCATAATGTGCTCGGGATTGTATTAGATGTTTCCACACTTCTAAGTCTAAAATAAGGAGACTTGGTGGCTCAGTGGTTAAGTGCTCGGCTGCTCACCTAAGGTTAGCAGTTTGAACCCACCAGCCACTTCATGGGAGCAAGATGGGGTAGTCTGCTTCCATAAAGATTTTACAGCCTTGGAAACTCTATGGGACAGTTCTACTCTGTCCTATATGGTCGCTATGAGTCGGAATCGACTCTACAGCAACTTTTTAAAAATAAGTCTAAAATATCTTACTGAAAGGCAAGACATATCTTTACTAAAATATCTCACTTTTTAAAACTATCTAGGGGGACGTGCTTATGACTCCTTCTTACAGATGAGAAAATGGGGATTCACCGACTAAGTCAACTTGCCCTGCACCCTGGTTACTGGCAGTTGGTGGTTGTGCTATTTTTTAAAGAAAAACCTTGAAGTTAATTTAAGCATATTTTTTTCACTTTTTACCCTGCTCCCAAACGATACTCATTATGCTACATTTCAAGAATGTATTGAAATAATTTATCAATTACTCACTGCTCTCTAGTTATGAATAATATGGCTGGAATATCTTCACAAAGTGTGGGTTACTACCTGGCATGAGCTGTGTGCACCCACCTCCCCGGAGCTGGGTTCTGATCAGGCCTGCACACACAGCTCTTGGGGGGGGGCAATTAGAGGCATGCTCACAG